GATGAGACCCAGTAAGGCATATTTTAGTCTCCAGACTTTTTGAGCTTACACGTAACAGCCTATGCTCATTATGTCCTCGGTGACTTCTTCAGTCACGACATCAAATTTCAAATCTCACTGTAGGATGGGATGCGTTTTCAACATGAGTGACTGCGGGAAAACTTACTTATTGGCAGAAGGGAGTTTATAAACATGTTTTGACATTCTTCTTCATCTGATTTATGCTGAGATATCCCAGACACTTAAGGGAGAAGTAAAACAGGATGCACACATACATTTCCCCTGCCAGCAGTGCCCATATTTCACAGCAGCATGAATAAATAGACATTCCTAGATAAGAAGTGGAAAATTTTTCCTCTGTCTGAAGTAATTTAAAGTGCTCCTTTTATGCTATGCTCCCAGACTTCCTTATCATTTGATACTGTTGTTAGCATTGTTGTAGTGCTGATGATTTAAACAGCAGAGAAAACCCATTTTTTAATTTTGCATTTCTTCTCTCCAGTAATCCTTCAAAATATTGCCCTGGGTTAAGAGACAAAGTTAGTGGGATTTACAGACTAGCTGACTGGTACAAGAGCAAGAAACCAATTTATGTGAGGTGATGTTAGGTTAGGCTAAGCTAGGCTAGGCTAGGCTGGGTGAGGAGCAGGGCAAATGGAGTGGAGATATTTGGGGTTAGAAACTCCTTTCTCAGGAAGTGTAGCGTTGTTCCTGCTTAGTGCTACAACCGTGACGTCGGGGGTGGGGGAAGAGGAAAGAGGAGGGGTGATCTCCTAACAAACAGCTGTTGCAGCTGTAGAGAGAAAAAAGGAGAAAGATCAGGAGCAGCAGCAGCAATCTGATCCCTGCAACAGGTAATGTCTCTTGAGTTCAAGTGACCTAGACTGCTCAAATGCGAAAAGGAAGGGGGGAAAAAAAGGTGGGGTGGGATGTGCCTGTGAGAGAAAAGTACATTTTTTGTACCAGTTCTCTGCAGCTTTCTTTTTCCTGAGCTGTAGCTCTTGTAGCTAGTCACAAGGGTGGGAGGGGGAAGGGGTAGAAGTTCAGACCCATATGACTTAAAAGGAAAGCATGTCAGCAGAGGGGCTTTTCTAGTAGACCTTTCCTGAAAAAAAAAAAAAAGGAACTTTGCTCTCTGGTTTCAGCGCAAGGGTTGCTTCCTCATGTGCGGCCGGCCAGTATGGGTGCACGGGAAGGCAGCAGAATGCAACAGCTCTGAAGGCAAAGAAGTGCTCAGTTCATGCAGGCTTGGTTGGGACCCCCACCGAGAGGGACTTGAGTGTGACCTTCATCCTGGCACCCTTCCAGGAACAGCCAGCCGGGCCAAGGGCTGCCCCGGGCTGGGTGCCACTGCTGTGCTGCCTGTCACCTAAGCTCAAGGGGCACATGGTCCTGGCTGCCCTTCAGACACTGAGGGCACCTACCTCCATGCTTACCTCAGGTGATAGCTACCACAGAGGTGCAGTGAAGACCTTTGTGCTAAAAATAATCAAATGCAACAATTATATGATTTTTCTGCCTGTGGAAATACATCAGGCTTTGCAAGCTAAAAATGTATCACTGGTAAATTCTCTGCTAGTGAATAAAAGGGAAAAAAGGATGTTTGGGACCATGCTGCTGTGTGCACTAGTTCTGAGCGGTCTTCGGTTTCAAGTAGTTTTCTAGGTTTTCAGCCCAGAGAGAAAGCAGATAAAGTTTTTCACTAAGCAAGGTTGATCCTAAATATGATAAATGCACCCCCAGCATATCAAAGTATTTGGTATAAAATCAGCCACACCAAGTAATGTGGAACTGCCAACTAACAACTAAATCAGACCGCCAGATCAGCCTTCTGAGGGTCTCTGCTGCAAGACTCATGTTTGTTTCTCTCTCCTGCCATCAATGCAGGCAGAGCACTGAAATGTGCAATGCTCCCCCAGTGCCTTCAAATGAAAGTAACTTTAAAATGTTAAAGCACCTCACACTACATGGAATAAATTCAGCAGCAAGTCCATTTTACATACCAGACACCAAGGAGGCTAAGTGAGGTTTCTAAGGTCAGCCAGAAAGTCTGGGGCAGGGGCAGGGACTGAACAGCTACCTGGTGGATTGCTAGTCTGTGTTTTGTCTGCAAGGGTGCTGCAGAAGCAGGCTCTGGGAGGAAATGTGGAATGATGCCTGCTGTGAACTGAGCGGAGCAGGAAATCTGATTAAAGCCCATCTCTTCTACCAGTGACCTTTCAAATAGAAGCAGCTGAATTTTGTGTTGTGACACAAAAGTGTCAGGACAGTAAAACAGGTTATCACAGAATCACAGAGCGGTAGGGGTTGGAAGGGACCTCTGGAGATGCTCTAGTCCAACCCCCCTGCTAGAGCAGGATCACCTAAAGCAGGTTGCACAGGATTGCATCCAGGCGGGTTTTGAGTATCTCCAGAGGAAGAGACTCCATAACCTCTCTGGGCAGCCTGTTCCAGTGCTCTGTCACCCTCAGAGTAAAGAAGTTTTTCATTAATATTATATATATTATTATTTCCTTATATGAGGTTTATCCTTCTGGCTCCTCTAGGTAGAGATCACCCTTTGGATGAGACAGACTTTAGACAACAGTTACATTTTAGTTTCCTTTGATTACACTGAAATCACCTTTTATTCTCTGCAGATTTCTTCACTTCTGTCAAAGGCTTCTGTTTGGTCTTAAATATCTTTTGTGTGGGGATAAACATAGTAGGACAAAACCCCATTTTGAGATCACGGCTGTTCCTTCAGGCAGTAGAGAGCATCATCAAGTGAGGGAGCTGTGCTGCTCGCAGCTTTGGGGATGGGATCGGTCCTCCAGGTAACACCAGCATGCTGCTCACCAGCACATCTCTACAGTTCATTTGGAATATTGGGCCCTCCATAAATGCCAACAGTATATATAACAGTGTATACATATCAGTAGTAGCCAGTACATTTTAAAGTTTGAGTTCTGACGTGCAATGGCTGCCGTATTGCCAAAACATTAGTGTGAAGCTGCATTTGCAAATGTCCTCTTGGTAGCCAAGATTAAGCAGCTTAAGAATTGTAAAGACAACAATTTTCTAGCCAGCCAATGGAGGAAGAGTTTGGAAAATAAGCCCAAATCTCTGAAATACAAGTTCTGAGGATCAGAGACAGATGTAGTGAACTAAACTTCAGAAGAAGAGAGAAACTATATGCTCAGCTTGCATCCTGTGCAAAGCCCACATGGCATTATCAGACCACAGAGATTGGTGGAGGTGCTGACTGGAAAGCCTCAAGATTTTTATAACTGTTCCTGTAACTTTCATACCCATTACAGTCATTCCTACCCATCCAGTAATAAGGCTGTTTCTTAAATCAGAACAATATTCTTATTTTTTTGCCTTTTTGTAATGTAGCGGTCCATCTATTTTCTTAGAACAAAAAGAGAATGAAGTGTCATTCAGTAATAAAGCAGATGAGATTTAGGGTCAATATTTATAGAGCTCACTGGACTTTAGTCCAATTCAGTTGTATCATACTTTTCCCAAAAGGAGTGTTTATGGAATACATTCCTTTGGGACCTCATATGTCTTATTTCCATATAATCGAAGGGCACTCATGTTTCTTGGGAGGTAAATTATGCCAACAAATCTTTCTGTGCTTATAGAAATGATCATATGAATAGTAGCCGCCCTGAATAATAGGAAGAGAGGAAGAAAGGTATTTTATATGACCTCCCTAGGATATACTTAGATAAAAAAATTAGAAGATCACTTTATCTAGATCAATTTATAGAAATGTGCATTGTTATGTATGGTCTCAATTCAATGCTGGGAATGAAGTATATGCATTCATCATATTTAGATATTTCTAAACACAGAAATTCACTGTGTTTGTTAATGTACAGATACAAATAAAGTTTGATGCCAGCGACATACCACATGAACACACTAGATCAAGGGGCAACTTAAAGAGATCTTACTACTTATTGGGGCAGGAAATTAATTGGTTAAACACAGGATATAAATTCCAGTACAAAATTAACAAATTCATTTCTGGAAAAGGTAGACAGTCCTTTTCATAGCTGAAGGACAGGCAAGCCCTTCTCTCTGGAATAAGTCAGAAGAAAATACATGTATGGGAAAGGGAAATTAAGTATCTCCAGAGCCTATGCAGTTTTGCAAAAAGTCAGATTACCTATGAAAATCAGGTTAGAATAGCTACAAAAGTTAGTCAGCTCCAACAGGAGAAGATTCACTTTATTAAATGCAGCTTGAAACACAGGCTGTGCAGAAAGACAAAGACCCTAATTTAATGTTTATCTAGAAAACTTATAGAGCAAGTTGGTTAAAAAAGAAAAAGACAGATATCCTTCAGACTGCATCAAATAAAAGATTGAAATGTGCCTTTCTTTTCCTTTTCTTCACTTACATTTTTATAAAAAACTTGCAACTATGCTGTCTGCTGGAGACAGGGCAAATTATTTGCATTGTACTTTAAGCTGTCTTGAGCACACGCTAGAGGCACGTCTTGTGGGAAGAACAGGATAAACCTCACCCAGGTGCAGAAATCCCGAGGCTGGTGTCTGCGGGAGTCCAAGGCCCTCAGTGGGGCTGCGGTGGGTGCGACCCCAGCAGTCCTTCGCGTCTGGTCGCACTGTCAAGGCAGAGCCAAGCCAAGGGGCTCAGGCTTGAATCCAGCTCTCAGTGGAGTGTCTTTGTTCAGTTACTTTTTCTTTGGAGGCACAAGTTTCACTGTGTGACCACAGATCACCCTGATCACTGGTAGAAACTCAGAAAAATTTTCTGGGCATATGTTAGGTATACCAACAAAGGGAGCCTTTGATCCATGAGGGAGAGTACTGCTCCGTGACCACTGACAGTCACAGGCAGTTTTCACTGATCTGTTTACATTTGAGCTGGTTTCCTTTGATTTCATAACATGTCCAAAGAGGCTGCAATTTCTACAGGTCAAAAAGCTTGAATGTTGCAGTGAGTCATACAGTTTGCTTTATCATTTTTGCCTCCACAGCTTTACAATGAACACCTACCTCTTTGTATATGACTTAATGCAATTCTGTGGACATTCCTGGATATTTACAAATATGATCATCAGGTTCATTTCATTTGGAAAAGGTAGGATTCCTTCTGTATTTTCGTTAAACATTTTAAGACACAGTGACACACAGAAGCATCAAGTTAAAGTTAGGATTCTGAATACATGTATGTCCAGTATCAGGGGCTGTAATTTCAGTTACAGAAAAGCATTGTTTCTTCCATTAAAAAGGATGAACAAATTACTGGTACCTAAGTTCTGCCTGTATCACATCAGGAATGAAGCTCTTGTTTTGCTAATGAGCTTTAATATTCAGCAGCATGCTGACATTTGACTTAGACATAGACCTAAATGTGACTAAGTCCAGTCATTATGATGAAGGGTAATCTTATTGAAGTCACTAGGAGGGAATATCTTTGTGGTATTGCACATGACTCTCTATCTCTAAAAACATTACAACATATTTCTTTTTCAGTTGCCTGAGGTTAAGACACAAAAATAGAAAACTAATGACTGGAAATTTAAAATTATTTATAATGGTGGACAGTTATACCTACTTAGTGGTCTGCTTGTTTTAGGAAGTGCCATGGGTACAGATACACACAGGAACTCAGCCTCTCCTCATGTTTAGACATTCCTCATATATTTCCTCGACATTTCCTCATACTTAGAAATAGCCCAGAGTGGTATCTCTAAACCAATACATGCTGCACAGTGTTTGCCAGTGCATCAAGTATAGGGGATCCCATTCTTTTCTCAGCTTCCAGCCTCTGTCTCAGAGCCACACACAGAGTGGACTGCCTCCTCCCTGCCCCCCAAGCTCTGCTTCTGCTACCCAGAAGTTCGATACTGTGTGAACTTTATTTCTTGTCATCTCCAGTGATCTCCAACAAACCCAGTGCGTGGTCCAGCCTTTGACTATATAACTACCCTCTAATTTCCCTCTTCACTTTGTAGATTCGTTGGCTGACACATTTTACTCCATAGGACTTGTAATGCGCCTTTGCCAGTTGATGTCTATACTGGAGATCCCACACATCCTCATTGGCATTGATAAAAGTCGTCTCTTCCCCAGGTTTTTGCAGGTAAAAGTCTATTTCTCAAGACCCTCCTTCCCTGACCTACACATTTCAGCCATGGCTGCCCCTGGGGACAAGCCCAGGCTGAACTACCATGAATGGTCCACCTGCACCCTTCCTCAGGGAGCTTGGTCTGCTAATGGTTTGCTAACTGCAGGAATTGAGCCCTCAGAACTGGGTTGGGAAAGAGCTCCTTGCTCTCTCAACTTTTTTCTTTTTGAGTGAAACTGAATAGTGACTGTGACTGCCTTGTGCCCAGCCCACAACACCAAGGACCTGGAAGATGTCCAGAGAAGTGGTCACCCACTGAAATGGGACAGGCCCTATTTCTGGGGCTCCGTAAGTGGCTGAGGATACTACCTCCCCAGCCAACTTGTTTACAGCCAGAAGACAACATTTCAGAGCCTAAGTTTCAGTAGCTAATTCTTTTTCATGCCACTTCCTCGCTGACAAGTGCACATGTATTTTGTAAACAAGCACAAGACAAGATTTTGTGGGGTAGGAAAGGGATGGCAGTGAGAAAACCACCAGCACATCAGGCCTTCTGAAACAGGGGTTGCTGGCGATCATGGAGTGTGGCAGGAAAAGAATTGATTAAGAAAGAGAAATTAAGAGACTGAGGAAGAATTAATGCTGCAGGAGAAAGAAAGGAGAATTGTCATTTTCTTGCTGTAAGGGTCTCTACCCTCTCAAACACAAACATGGGCAAACTGTGACAACATACAGAGGTTCTGACACTGTTAAGGGGTTTACAGGGCATATGTTCAGCTGTAGACAGAAAACCAGCCAAAAGATCACATGCTATAGCAGAAAACAAAATGATTCTCTGATGTTTTCCTTACCACATTCTTGCTTTCTGTTGCGAGTTAATCTCAGGTTTTGGTATTTTTCTTAATGCATTGGAAAAAGTAAAAATGTTGAGTTTACCTTCAAACCTTTCTAATCCTCAGTATTTGAATAATGGTGAAACTGCTATTGCTCTCAGCAGTCAGAAGGTAGAAGACTAAGAGTAGTTAGTTACGTTTTTAGTTTTCTGGATAGCCCATTTTTGTCAAATGACATAATTGCATGAGTGAAGATGTTCCTCTTTTTAAATCTTCATTAGAAATTGATTGACTAATACAGATCTCTGGTGTTTATGCTTCATACTAAGTATGGTAGCAAATTCGTCAAAATGCAATTAACTGTTTTTCCCTGCCTAAATCTACATGCTTTTACATCAATCTAGGGGGGAAAAAAGTATCCTGTCCAATGTGTCCTATGCTCAAATCTCACGTCATCTCTTGGAGAGAAGAGCAGCCTGCTAATGCTAACAGTCATTAAAACAACGGTTTTCCTGGCAGAGTGTATGCATTCCCTAGCCCTGACACAGTCCATTCCTTTCCTACCCAGCCCTACAGAAGCAGAGATCAGGGAAGCCTGCACAAACACTGCTCTGTGTTGCCACAAGAGGCACTACATATTAAATGGATATTCTGAGCAAGAAAACTGTGACCCTTCTCCAGCATTGCCATTACTACAGTGCTTTCCAGGGCAGCATGGAGAAGGTGGGTCAGGGAACAATACGGCACTGTGACTCCAAACATTTGCCTCAGAACAAAGATAGCTTTGGATCCTTACCAAAGTGTTCTCTCACTGGAAACACAACTCCCTTGCCTTGATGTTAGCAGTAGTCTCATGCTGTCCAAGCAAGGTGTCCAAGCTCTTTGGTGTAGACTCTGCATTCACTTGGGTTGCCCTGCTTTTGCTGTGAGAGTGCTGGTTAAATTTGTCTGCCAACAGGTCTCCCATGTGCCTTGCCACACTTTCCTCCCTGCTTCTTAGGAAAAAGTAATAAATACATATTTTCCACAATGAACTGGGGAAGGACACTAAGAGATGCTTACTGTACTGCAGCCTACTAGACTACTGCATATAGTCAGGGCAGTGGTAAAACTGCAAGAATTTGATAGTGGCTGCACTGTTCTGCATTCCCACCACTTGTTCTGACTGTAAGCTTAAAACATATCCCTAGATGCATCCCTCAGTCTATGCACATACATGAACACCCATAGCGTAGTTATATCAGGTGACCTACGATGAGAGAGAACGGCTCATCCTAGCTGTGAGAGGTGGCTATGGCAATGTCAGGGAAGCACATGGGTGTAGGCAATGCCACTTTGAAGAGAACAAGCTGTGAAAGCACCCCTGTGGTGGCTGGTTGTTTTGCAGGCATTATAGCACAGACAAGGTTTAAGCAGAGCTTGAAAGAAGGATTTCTGCCTAATATCCCATTTATTGTGGCTTAGTAGTTTTGTACAAGGAACACTTTGAGATACACATTACAGATGGTGGAAAAGCAAACTCAGTGGTGTCTTCTGGAAAAAAACATGCAGGATGGCCTCATTGAGGGACCAAGTCTCAGGCTACCAGGCACCTGAGAAGGGTTTGATAGGCCAAGGCAAAGTCATACCATGAAGGAAAGATGAGTCCTGTGTGATGGATGCTCTGGAAGAAGGGAAGACCAGGGATGGTCACAAGGTTGGTGCAAAGGGATGTGTCTCAGGGCATTTGCAGCTTGAATGATTAAGAGGAAGACAGGAGAACATGTCATATGTCACTGCAGTTGCCAAAACAGAGGATAATGAAATTTAATAGTCTGGTCAGGGAGTAAAGGCTGATGGGACTGCTAGTTTAGCAAGGGAGAGAGTAGGAAAGATACAAGAAAAGACTGGTGTTTTTGTGAACAAAACACCAGTTCTTCATCCTGTGCAAACAGGATTGGATTTACCAGACCAAAAGCAATGCACTGTGGCTTTGTGATAAAAACATTAACTTTAAACTTTATCTAAATATTTAGTAGCACTTTTTTTTAACAGTGACTAAACTGAAGAGCTATGTAAGGGTTTCAGGTACCAAATACGGTAGTGCACAGTCACGGTTATTAAAAAATGGGAGTGAATGTGCTGCCTGCTCCTGCCCTAACCTCAGCTCGTCTCATTTGCTAAGTTTCACTTACTTGCTTCAAAGTCCCAGGCTGCCTTGCAGAAATTTATGCCATTCTACAGAACTTGCTGTATCCTGTGAGAGACCAGTGCTGGGAGAGGAAGGAAATTCCAGTTTGATTTTAACACAAAGAACAAGAAGGAATGAAAAGTGAAACAATTGTATTTATGCTTTGTGAGGTGTCAGCACATACTTCCGTTCTATGAACATGAAAACACAGGACTTCTAGTTTTGCCTTTTAAAAAAAAAAAAAAAAAGCAAAAGAGTAGCAACAGAGAATACTGTATTTTTCATTCATGCAAGGACAGATGATCCATAGAAGAAATGAGCTGTGGCTGGGCAGCGGCACGTGCTTTTTATATGTATGTGTATATATGTATGTGTGTATACACACATGTATACATAAGCATACACGTGTGCATATTTATATATATACATGATTCCATTGTATATATGCATACAGATGTGCGTGTAGGGGCACAATATCAATGGGCATTTACTAGAATCTTCTTCAAGTAGCACCCTGCTGTGTCACTTACCAAAAATGTCCCCATCCTCTGATGAACCCAATCTACCTTGGATTTGCATGGGTTACCTAAAGGTATGAGTGCTATGAAAGAAATGAGCACAACATCTTGAAGGGGAGCAAAGGAAGGCAAGCATGCAGGCAACCTCCTGATTTACACAGAAAAGAGGTAGGATGTTGCTGCCAATCCTCAGGAGGACATCACAGCTGCCCTGAGCAGCCAGGCCCATGTCCTGCCCCACAGAGGTGCTCCAGAGCAAGGCCACAGGCGGTTTTCAGTTTCAGCCCCTGACAGCTGCTTTGTGCATGCCATTGTCTGCTGGCTGAGACTGCAGTCTAACAGGAACAGAAGACCTACAGACGACCTGCTTTGTGTCAGGTCCAGCAAGCTCCCTGCTCTTGCAGGGCCTTTACCTACTTTACACAGTCTGATTACTGACTTCCATCATCTGCAACAAGCGAGGCTGAGTGCCTCCACTGCTCCCCTTCCCAAACATGAATCCTCTGACACAGGAAATTTGCTGAGCCCCAGCTAGGAGATGCTCACTGCCTCTTATGCATCTGCTTGTGCCCTGTGGAGAGAAGAAAATCCACAGCCTCTTCCACTCCCCGGCTATGAGGCTGAATTGTGAGTCTCCATGCCACTCTGCCGCACTGGCCAGTGCCAATCCTTTTGAAATTGGGAATGGCAGCTACCTGTCTACTGCTTGTCCTCTTATCTTACTGAAATGGGATCAGCTCCTGATCACTTGACCCATGCTGTTTTCTTTACCACCCAGCCACCTCTTGAAGAGCGAGTGGAAAACCTGCCAGCTCTCGCATCTAAAAACGCATCCACCTTTCATAACCATGACAAAGCTTTGGTCTCTAGGTGAGAATTCCCTGTGGTAATTCCCTGAAATATCTCTCATATTAACAATATTGCGGAACTCTCCACATCCCAGTCTGATTTTAGGGTTGGTAACAAAATGCTCGCACCACCAATGCTGCACTCCTGTACCAGAATTTAACTCAGGTTCTATTTTATTTATTTTCTCCAGCACACAATCCTGTTCTGTGGTCACAATGCTTTTACCTTTGTTTTGATTTCCCTCTTGTGATGGTTGTCCCACTATGCTTCTCCTATCGCTGTTTTATCTGGTTTCAAATCCTGCATCAATACTTCCAGTTCCCCCATTTTCTTGCCAGGTTCCTCAGCACCAGCATACAAACACAGTACTTATTACCTCTCACTGTTTCCTGGCCTGTCTACACAGAAGTCTGTCAACTTCTGACCTTCTTAGAAATCCTCAGTTAAGGACCAAGATGACAGGCAGCAAAACCGTTTTTATTTGTTCTGCCCCTCAGTGCTTTTTAAGATGAGGAACCAGATCCCTAGGGGATGGACAGGCTCTCTTTCTGTATGAAAAATTGCTTTCACGTAATTTTGCTGAATAGTGAAGTGATGGCTGCTTTATCTGAGAGATGCGGTTTGCAAAAGTCTGTAGCCAAAACGTTCCACTCAGGAACCATTAAGCATTATGTAGCAAAACCACAAATTTGCTGAGGCCAATTTCTTTGTCTAAAGTAGGAGTAAAGGGAGGGGGGAAATCAGTGAAGAAGAATGACTGCGCTTATAAAACCCACCTTGTTAATCCATTTTCATTTAATAGCTTTTCACTAATATTATTAAACCTAAGGTACCTTACAGAAGAGATGGCAGTGGGTATAAAACAACCCAGTGCAGCTATACTTATTCATACCAACTGAATACATGCATGTTTTCTCCTTCAACACTTTCAAATAGAGTGTAAATCAGAGTGAACCAGTACCGTTCTGGGAGAGTTTCACAAGCACCCATTAGCAGTACTGAATACTACAGTTATATTTATTTTATAGGGCAGTGCATGGATACTGATAGGAAACTTGTCCAAGAAAGCTGCAGAAAGACACACTTGGTTTTAATTTGAGCTTTACTATTGCCAAAGTTGTTTGTTTTTTTAAGCTGGAGACACTGCCTGTTTAATCCACTTTTGTAACTTTCATTTGTAAAGGCATACCTTGTGAGTCAGATACAGTTCAACCACTAGAAAAATGTTATGACATAAGTATTATGGTAATAGAACACATAAATGACAAGGTTAAATGCACTTCTCCTAGCCAAAAACAAGAAGAAAAGAAAAATAAGGAATTCAGCTTTTCCTCATTTCTGCAAATCTTACATGTGCCCTAGGGACAGAGATCTCCAGCTATGGACAGCAGAGCTGGGGCTGCGAGATTAGCACTGTCTGGCATCCAAGGGCCCTCCGTATCCCACGCCTCCCATGCAGCCTACAAGCAAGGAAGCTTACCGCCGCCGGCCCTCCAAGCACTGGGGCACAGTGGGAGAAGTCCTTGCTCCTCAGCCGGCTCATCCACAGGTTTCCTGGGCTACAAACCCAAGTCATCCCCACTGGCAAGCAAACCTCCACCCTTACTGTAGGAGATCTATGATGCTGCGGCCAACAATTTCCAGTTCCCTGAGCTGGAGGCCAATGGGGCTTTGAACAAAAGCAGGCCAAGAAGCTAAATGTTCACTGGAGCATTTGTGTAAAGCAAACTGGATTCACCTTTGGCCTCTTGTTTTGCCAAAATGGCACAGAAATTAGAGGTATAGAAGGTGCTACCTGAATTTACAATTCTTTTTTCTTTTCAGATCACCGAGAGAATAATTGTTTTATTTGTCGTGATCAACAGTCAGGAAGAAGTTCAAGGGAAATACATTGTGTGTGTTTTATTTTTCCTTTGGAATTTATTAGATGTGGTCAGGTAAGGAGTCAACAGTGAAACCACAAGGGGAACATGGGTCATTCTTGTGAGCAGAACCCTACCCCCACCATGCTACAGGCTCATTTCATTATTTTGAAATAGGTAGAAAAGCATATTATCCATTTCAAATAAAAGCTTGGACCGTGTAAGCTACTTCCACATTTTTACAAAAATCCGCATAGTTGAGAGGCAGAGTGATTTACAGAAGTAAATCGTTACATTAACATTTGTAGTTCAAAGGATTTGATGTTTTAAACACAAATTTAGAAGGAAATCACAACTACCTCCCAGGGAACAGCAATTTCTGAAACTGATTTACAATCCTCTTATTTTAATTTTTATTTCTTATTTAAAATCTCACTTCGATCCAAGATTGACAGCACAGTAAGGCAGCTCTGGCAGAACTTCTTACTAAGATGAAAAGTCTATTCTGGGTTAATTGCACTGTGTTTTCAAAAAGCCAAGAGCTCCTGCTGCAGAGACTGAGAATTTTCGTGTAGTAGGGCATATATCACACTGCAGGGGCAACACGCATGAGGCAAAATGGATAGGAGTACAATTCAGGATTTTTATCTCAAAAATTTTGTATAGTGGAAAGTTACCAGTACCTCCCTGTGGTAAAAGTATAATGGTGAAAATTCTACATTTCTGACTTTTGCATCGGTATCCGAAGTCAGTAAAATTTCTCAAATGTAACTTAAGCCTCTGTGAACCTCAGTTTGTAGACCTTCAGCAGGGAAGACACAGAATTAAGAAGCACTTAACAAGACATAGCCCTCACAGCAACATTTATGTGAGAGCAAAATTCTTTTATTTTTTTGCTTTCTGCTAAAATAGCTTTCTGCTATTTTAAATACATTGCTAGGGAATACGGATTTAGGCAGCAAAGGAAATGTATGTTATGAAAAAGATCTGAAAAAGGAAAGTGTCAGGATCGATAAGAAAGATTTTAAGTCGGCCTCAGAGTATTTGTACTACATGTGTTAATAAACTACTACTTGTAGTAGTTATTAGTTGTATTAATTAATTATTATTTACCTGGTTTAGTGGAGGGTGTCCCTGCCCATGGCAGGGAGGCTGGAGGACTTGATCTTTGAGGAATCTTCCAACCATTTTATGATTCTATTTGGACTACTGCTCCATCCTGTTTCCTTTTGAAGTTTGTAAAGCTAAAATAGTAGAACCTCATCTCAAATGAAGGTGTTTTGTGCAGCTGGAGAGAGGCCAAAAGTGTAAACAATATTGGCTGTAAAGTCCTGTCAGTGCATAACAGTCCCATCAATGCATCATTATTTTCTATCATTGCTAAAGAACACAGTCCAGCATCATAGCAGTAACAGCAGCCGTTAGGTAAGATACTGTCGTCTATAGCACCAAATGACCAATTCAAATAATAACACATAGTACAACTCATACGGATTCAGAATCCTTACCTGACTGATTTTACAGCATCTGTGCCATGTCCTAGCATCTCAAGAAAGTGGTCACATCTAAAGGTGTACAGGAATCTATCCCATCCCTTAGCCAACTAGTCTTGAAGTATTACAAGTTCTTCCACATAGTTCTTCAGGGACGTAAATATCCTGTGCGTTATGGCTAAAGATATATTCAGAGCAAATTCTGCAAGATTTTCACCACAGACAACCCCTCTGAAACAATGAACCATTTACTTTCAGACATCAATTAGAGCCGTTGCAGTATTGCTCTGAAATCTTCTCAGATAGGCAGCTCCAAGCTCTTCTGCAATTCCCTTGGATTTTTCAATAATGTATCTTTATTTTAAAGACAGGATAATTCCCTCTGAGCTCATCTGCTGTTCCTCTTGCTGCAGGTACACTTACAACATGTTAGCAAGGACAGGAATATACTACCTACCACTGACATGGCTCAACTTTTCACTGTGCATCCCGCTCTATCCCCTTTCAGTTCTGGCTAAAGGTAAGGAGATGGGAAAGATACCAACAACTTGCTTCCTTCATCTCCTTCAATAAAATATGATCAGTTCAATTGTCATTTGTGTTTAAGATATTTCTTTTTGTGTTGCCAAAGTAGTCATAAATGTTTATGTACTCATATTAACCGTATGTCACCTATATTTCTCTTTTCTGTATTTTTTTTCCTGAATAGGGGTTCTCTGGTGTTTGTGTGTCTGGTTTTTGTTTTGCTTTGTTTTTTAACAGTATGGTAAATGTTCATTTTTCTGGGTAAAGCAAAATATCCCCAGAAAAGACATGTGGATTCCCCAATTCCAGAGTGACCACATCAGACAGCAAGTCTCAAAGCCTCCTTCTCATCCACTGAGGCTGACCTTACAGGCTCAGGCCATACTTAGCAGCTTATCGTACTTACACCAGTAAATGCGCCCACTGAGGTCATATTGAAAGGAGTGCAACTACAGGAGCAACAGTACTTGTTACTGAATAAGAAATACTTGCTAATTCTAGTATGAAGAGCAATTAGCACCTCAGACCTACAAAACTGAACTCAAGGAGAAAACAACATGTGCATATGCATAAGAATGACATGGTGAATTCAGCATACAATATAGCTATCTGTGTCTTAAAGGTAACTCACTTTTACATGAAGTTTTTGATGATCTTCCACCTCCTTTTGACTAAAGATTTACCATGTTATTTTACAGCATTTGCAATTTGGGTATCACTGCCTTATTTTGAATCCTTTGGCACATACTCCATCAAGCTACCACTTCCAATCACCTTCTCAATCTACTTCCCCTATGTTCTGAAAATGTACCTGCTAGTGCTGTTTATAGGTAAGTATCTCATCTTCCAGAAAGCTGGGTCTCAACACAACTGGGATGCCTATGGCAACAAAAAATCAAATCAGCATAGCTGATTTCACAAACTCTAAATCTCTCTGCCATGTCTCCTGCAGACCACTGCAGAGTTCATCACCAGCTGTTCTGATTTCTGATGTCTTTCAAATACAAATAATTGAATTTGGAAGAGTTACTGTATGTGTGAGGCATAAAAATACAAAACACAAATATAAAAATTGCTTCAATGATCCTGGCCTTACAGCTACTTACCCGTTTGTTTTTTTTTTTCTTTTAAAATAAATTTCCATTTGATCATACTCTCATTTTGTGCAAACCCCCTCACTCATTCCTCTTACCTGGTATGAGAAGTTACATCTAAATTAAGACTGTTACAGCTTGATTATCCAAAGAGATGAAAAAGAAGCCTACCCCAAAACCTGCATGTAAATAGACTCCTTCTCCTTCTCAACAAAATACTTCTGAAAAAATTAAACCGAATTTGGCTGTATTACAGTCAAGTCTGTTCTGTCATTGGCTTCAATACTAATTTGAAGGATCTCATCTTTGTGATGCAGTGTTCTGTTCCTAAGTTCATGGAAGTAACTGCAAGGTTGCCAGATAAAGGCTCATAGTGTGCCTTCTAAATGAAATGAAGACACTTTGGACTCCACTGCCTTGTTCTTACACCATTTTGTGTTTTGATTCAGGTATGTGCTTTATCATCCAGAACCTCCTCTCCGAAAGGAAGGCACACCTAGGGACAGGCAACATCAAAAAGAAAAGAAGCTAAGTTGATATTTTGTTTGGAAAAAATAAATATATTCCCAGTGGGCTGCTGCATATCATACGGTAAAAAGAAATTAGACAAAGATTTTCAATGCAAAACTCCTGTTTGCATTTACATTATCTGGCTATGTAGAATTTTCAGAAAAAGCAGGTCTCTCTCATGCACCTCAAAAATGGAGCAGCTCAAAGTACCTAGTTACTTTCGAAAGTTTTGACTTCAAATGGCAGGAGTTTTAAAAATGAATGCGTTTTTTCTAACATAGAGAACGCTGAAAAAAAATTGAAGAATGCCTCCACTCACAATCACACTAACAACCCTTATTTTGGTGTTACATCTTGCCTCATTAGTAACAGATATTCTGTAATGACCATACCATTTAATCTATAAGATTATTTTCTATTAGGCCAACATGTATGTGCCTCATATATATAAATGCTAAATTGGCTAGAACAGAATCTCTCCAGGAGCAGTAGCTGGAAACTTTGCACCCTATGAGAGTCACAGGCTGATTAGCCCCCGGCATTCACAAAGGATCCCTCACATTCTGGCCCAACCTTCACTTCTCCAAACAACATTCCAGAAAATGCAGCTAAACCACAAAGGCAAGTGATCAGGTGCTCATCTACTATATATTCAAGGGGATATTTAAGGGTCAGAAGTAAAAACTTATAATCATGTGTCTGGCAGACATGAAGAACCTCTTTCCCCACAATGATTTTATTCCATGCTGAACAGCAGACAGATATGCAAAAGAAGTGTGACTTAGGCGAAATACATGTTGTTCTTTAAGGGGAAGTGACTGACTGTCAAAAGCCATGTGCAAAATTCTAGCCATTCTACTCAAGTGCACTGTTCCTCATACTTCTGTAGAACTATCTGTGAGAATGCAACCAGAACATGGTCTCTTCAAAGGCTGGGAATGAAGAATACGGACAGCAACCTAGTGGAATGTACAGGCAAAAATGGACAAATAACTGATGAGAGGCTGGCAGGGGCTTTTCTGATGTTTCATCCATATTGATTATAACCTACATTTGAACTCAAGCAGGTGGGGGAGAAAAGGCTATTTTTTGAGCTTGACTGAAAACTGAGGGGAGGGAGGAAAGATAACACTGAATGGGAAAATGAACACTATCACAATATGAAGAGGCTTTTGCCTGTATAACTTTCTAAACCACGCAGCCTAAGAGGGTATATAAGAAAAGAGTGAAGCTGGCCTCGATGAACTCGGTTGTAAAGAAGGGTCACCTACTATCACTTTTATTTATTTAATATATGTGGTAGAAAATGCCTGCAGACTATTGTGATCAATGGAGTATTTGCAAATCATAAGCAACAAGGTCATGCATGCAGTAGTATGGGGTCTACCCTGGATTTCTTTTTTGAAAGCACTGCAAATAAAGGTATGAATTTGGAACTTATTAAAGAAACCAAAGTACTTCCACATTGGACTCCTCTCTGACCCAAACCAACTCAAGTGTGGACAACGTGAAGAAATGTATAGATCAGCTGAGCAGGATGACAGCTTTGAAGAAGAGAGCCAGAATAAGAACAGTTCACATCAAACCAGTACATAGCACACTAAAGGTTAAAACATGGACATTTTTTTCCCTTGGAAATTCAATCTAACTGCCTGGAGTTAACGTACTCTGTAGGAGGAAACATGACATATGATATTGTATTTGGTCTATGTAGCAAAGCTTGGCAGTGGGGAACCTGCAGGGATGGCCTGTGTGAGAAGAAGCCGGGGCCTCCCCCCATGCCAGACACAGCTGGTTCCAGCCAGCTCTGAAACAGAGCCACGACGGGACAGTGCTGAGCCAAAGAGCAAAGCTGATGGTGCCTCTGTGAAAATGTATTTAAGAAAAGGTAAAAAATGCTATGCAACAGCTGTGAGAGGGAAGAAGAAGAAAGATGTGAGAGGAAACAACTCTACAGACACCAAGGTCAGTGAAGGAGGGGGAGGGGGTGCTCCAGGCACTGCAGCAGATTCCCCTATGGCCCATGGAGAAGACCGTGGTGGAGCAGGTTGTCCCTCTGCAGCTCATGGAGGACCAGGCCAGACAAGATATCCACACTGCAGCCTGTAGAAAACCCCACGCTGCAGCAGGTGGATGTGCCCTGAAGGGAGCTGCAGCCCATGGAGAGCCCACACAGGAGTAAGTTCCCGGCAGCAACTGTGGCCCATGAAGGACCCACACTGGAGCAACCTTTTCCAGCTGGACTGTACCTCAATGGAAAGGACCCGTGCTAGAGCAGTTCTTGAAGAGCTGCAGCCTCTGAGAAGGAACCATGTTGGAGCAGTACAAGAAGGACTGTATCCCATGGGAGGGCCCTCATGCTAGAGCAGGGGAATAGTGTGAAGAGGAACAAGCAGCAGAAATGAACGTTTATGAACTCCTATTCCCTACCCACCCTGCACTGCATGGGGATGAAGGAGGTAGAGTCAGGAATAAAGGAGTGAAGTTGAGCCTCAGAAGGGAGGGGTGGGGGGAAAGTGGTTTTGTCTTTGTTTCTTACCATCCTACTCTATTTTTAATTGGCAATAAATTACTCTTTGCCAAGTTGAATCTGTTTTTGTGACAGTAAATGATAAATGATTTCCCTGTCTTTATCCTGACGCACAAACTTTTCATCCTATTTTCTCCCAGTCCTGTTGAGGACGCAGAGTGACAGGAGTGGCTGAATGGGCATCTGGCAGCCGGCCAAGGTCAAACCTACCACAGATACTCATTCTAAGCCGTGTTTATTGTATTATGTTTAAAAAAATAATCAGGATGTGATACTTGCATTGATTCTTACAGCTGGCTAAAAGGCTGGAATAGGAGAAAGATTCTTTAAAATTCACTGTGGGGAAAACCCCCAAATCTAAATTGCAGGAGAAAGGCATGAAGTTAATGACAGAAGACTTCCCCGCCTCTTTCTGGTGCAGAGGTAACTTGAGGCAGGCAATCAGGGGATCCAGGGAATCAGCCTTCCATGTGTGACCACAGCAGGTCACTCTAACTTCAGCTCCAATGCCGTACTTTAGTTTCTGGAAAAGCTCAGGACTGGGCAGGCAAAAAGGTGCTTAAAAAGTTGCCTGCATCTTTCCACCTCTAGGAACTTAAATCTTTGTTCAAAAATTTCTATCAGTCTCGAGGTCCCAGCTCATCTGTATCTCCATTTACATTATCTGATACTGGAATAAAAATAATCAAAATTGCTCTTACATATCTACATAAACATAGGCAAAATAATATACTGTATAGATAAGAGTGAAGAAATATTATTAGGGAAGTGATATATAACTGAAAGTGGTTAAACAATCTCCTTAGGAACAGACTGGTATCTGACTACTACATTTGTCTGTCATTTAAAAAACCCACTAGTTTTTGTACAGTTTATGTATTGTGAGACTGAATTCATAAATATGTATATGAAACACATAGAGTGTAAAAAAGAAATTATACCTAAGTGCTAAAGACAGACAAATGCTAAAGATAGACAAGAAGATTTTACCCCTTCTGTTTGCCACAGAACAGCTATGCTGGAGTCACAAGAACTTGTCCTACCAATACCTTCACCACCAGCTTCCTTTGCTGTCTTCCCACACATCCAAAATACAGTAGCAACTAACTTGCACACCTCAGTCATTGAAAGTCATTGTCTCCAGAGCAACACACCATTTTGAAACAGATCACCTAGAAATAAAAATCATAGTAATTTCTCCAGCACTAGCACACAACAGGAGGAACAGTCTCTCCATCACAGGTTACGTGTATACTTGCAGGTACAGCAGCCCAATAGGAATGGAACTATAGAGTGAAAGGATTCACAGTGAGGACCCAATAGCCAACTTGTCTGCACTTGAGGGTTTTACTTCAAACCATCTCTAGTTTAGTCCTGTCGGCTGAACACACAGTGTTGTAGAGTACACTGGAGTATTTAAGTGTGAGGCTGCTCCTATCTGCGTATAGAGGACTTCATCTGCTCTTCATCCAGTCCAACTGCCTGACAAATTCAGGGATGACCAAGTCTACCCCTGAGAGCATTGTCCAAATGCCACATCCAACTGCCTGACAAATTCAGGGATGACCAAAAGTTCTATTATTAATGGCACTGTTTGAATGCCACATAAACACTGACAGTCATGAGCATCAACCACCTCTCCAGGAAGTCTGTTCCATGGTTGGACCACCCTCAAAGAAATGCCTCCTAAGGTAAAGTCTGAACCTCCCCTAATGCAGCGTTGAGCTATTCCCGTGCATCCTGTTGCTGGAACCCAGGGAGAAGAGCTCAGCACCTCCCTTTCCACTTGCCCTCCTGAGGAAGCTGCAGAGAGCAATGAGGGCGCCCCTCACCCTTCTTTTCTCCAAACTAGACAAACCCAGAGTCCTGAGACGTTCCTCACAGGACGCACCTTCTGGCCCTTCCACCAGCTTTGTTGCCCTCCTCTGGACGCATTCAAGGGCCTTCACATCTTAAACTGTGGGGCTCAGAACTGCACACAGTACTCAAAGTAAAGCCACACCAACGCTGAATACAGTGGGATAATCCTCTCTTGTGTCCGGCTGGTTATGCTGTGTTTGATGCACCCCAGGATGGGGTTTGCCCTCTTGGCTGCCGGGGCATACTGCTGACTCCTATTGTGCTCAATGCTGAGCAGCACCCCCAGACCCCTTCCTGCAGGGCTGCTCTCCAGCCACTCCTCTCCCAATTTAGACTTGTGACTGGCATTACTCCATCCTAGGTGCAGAACCTAGCGTTTGTGCTTGTTAAATTTAATGCCATTGATGTCTGCCCAATGCTGCAGTCTATCTAGATCCCTCTGCAAGGCCTCTTGTTTCTCCAAAGAGTCAACAGCACCTCCCAGTTTGGTATGATCAGCAATGCTGCTAATGGTGCATTCAACTCCTGCATCCAGATCATTGATAAAAATGTTGAACAGAACTGGCCCCAGAACTGAGCCCTGAGGAACACTGCTGGTGGTGGTGGCTGCCAGCCAGAGGTAGCCCATCCAC